ACTCTTCCATTGATGGGCATGTAGGCTGTCTCCATCTTTTTGCTGTTGTGAATAGTGCTGCGATGAACATCGATGTGCATGTATCTACTTGTGGATATTTCTTGTGAATATATACCACTGGGTCATACAGTAGTACTATTTCCAACTTTATGAGGAAGTGCCATACCATTTTCCAGAGTGGTTGAAGCATTTTATAGTCCCACCAACAATGTAGGAGAGTCCCAGTCTCTCCACACCCTCACCAGCATTTGTTGTTTTCTGAACGTTTTGAATTTTTTTTTTGAACTTTGTTATTAATGCTGGTGTGAGATGACATCTCACCCTGGTGTGGCATTATACAATAAAGCAGCAATGGACTGCAAGGTCAGCTGTTCAAACTCACTACCTTCTCAAAAAACCCTACAGAGGGTCACTATGGGTCAGAACCAACTCAATGACACTTAACAACAATGACAACAATAGCTAATGATCATGACCATTTCTTCATATGTTTTCTTGGCTGCCTGAATGTCCTCCTGGTGAAGTGTCTGCTCCTGTCCTATGCCCATTTTTAAAATGGGTTGTCTTTTTCTCATAGAAGTATTGAATTTTTCCATAAATTTTATGTATTAGTCCCTTGTCTGATATGTTGTTGCAAACTATTTTTTTTCAGTCTGTGGGCTCCCATTTTACTCTTTTGGTGCAATCTTTTGATGCACATCAGTGTCTAATTTTAAGGAGGTGTCAGTTACCTATTTTGTCTTCTCTTTGTGTGTTTTTAGTAATGTTTGTGTATTTGTGCCATGTATTAGAGTCACTAAGTTTGTCCCTAGTTTCTCAGTGATGATCTTTATATTTCTAAGTTTTTAATTTAGGTCTTTAATCCATGTTTATGTATATGCTGTGAGTTATGGGTCTTGTTTGTTCTTCTGCAAATGGTTTTCCAGTTTTCCCCATACCATTTGTTGAAGAAAGATCATCTCTTCCCCCATTTAATGTGTTTTGGTCCTTTGTCAAATATCAACTGATTGTATGTGGATTAATTTACTTCTAGGTTCTCAATTCTGTTCCATTGATCTATGTATCTTTCATTATACCGGTACCAGACTGTTTTGACTACTGTGGCTGTGTAGTAGGTTTTGAGATTAGGAGGTGAGAGGCTCTTAATGTGTTCTTTTTCAGTGCTTTGCTTATCTAGGGTCTCTTTCCTTCCATATAAAGTTGCAGTTTAGTTGGAGAACAACTCTTAATAGTATTCTGTTATTATTCTTTTGATTTCGTTTGGTTCTGTTGTGACATCACCCATGTGGTTTCTAATGCATGTTATTTGTGTCCACTCCCTCTTTTCTTTTGTTAGTTTTGCCAATGATTTGTCAATTTTATTAATCTTTTCAAAGAACCAGCTTCTTGTCCTGCTAATTCTTTCTATAGCTTTTCTGTTTTCCAACTCAGTTATTTCTGCTCCTATCTTTATTATTTCCTTTCTTTTGGTGACTGTAGGTTCCCTCTGCTGGCCTGCTTCTAATTGTTGGAGATGCTGCATTAATGTGTTAATTTTGGTTCTTTCCTCTTTTTTGATGTGCACATTTGTCAGAATAAATTGTCCTCACAGCACTGCTTTCGCTATGTCCCAAAGATTTTGGTATGTTGTGTTTTCATTCTCGTTTGTTTCTAGGAACTTTGTGAATTCACGTTTAATTTTTTCTTTTACCCAGTCACTTTTCAGCAGGGTGTTGTTCAGTTTCCACATATTTGACTTTATTTCCTTGGTCTTCTTATTGTTGATTTCTAGTTTTATAGCATTGTTGTCTGAGAAGATGCTTTGTAGAATTTTGATGTTTGTAAATGTATGGAGGCTTGCTTTGTGACCTAACACATGGTCAATTCTGGAAAATGTTCCATGCGCACTGGAGTAGAATGTATATTATGCTGTTGTTAGGTTGAATTGCTCTGTATACATCTATGAGGTCAAGTTGGTTGATTGTGTTGTTTAGTTCCTCTGTAACTTTGTTAAGTTTCTTTCTGGTTGTTCTGTCCCTTTTTGAAAGTGGCATATTAAAATCTCCCACTATAATTGTTGATTTATCTATTTTTTTCTTCAATTCTAGTAAAATTTGCTTCATGTATCTTGATGCTCTTTCATTGGGAACGTAGATATTTATTATGGTTATGTCATCTTGCTCAATTGACCCTTTGATCATGAGATAGTGTCCTTCTTTGTCTCTTATGCTGGTTTTTATCTTAAAGTTTACTTTGTCAGAGATTAGTATTGCCACTCCTGCTTGTTTATTATTGCAGTTAGCTTGTTATATTTTTTTCCATCCTTTAATTTTTAGTCTGTTTTTGTCTTTGTGTATCAGGTGTGTCTCTTGCAGGCAATATATTGAAGGTTCTTGTTTTCTTATCCATTCTGCCATTCTCTGTCTCTTCACTGGTGCATTCAGTCCATTAAAATTCAATGTAATTATTGATAGGTACAAATTAATTGCTGCCATTATGTTACTTTTTTGGTAGTACTGTTCGTTCTTTTGTTCTGCATGCCTTCTTGTGTTGGGTTTGTATTTTTTGTACATTTTCTTGTCGGTTTCTTCTTACTATACATGTGTCCTTGTTCTGTTTGGAAGTTCATTTTCATAGTAAGTTGTGGAAGTATTAACTTTCTTTGGGGTTACCTTATAGTCTACTAAATTTTCTCTCCATTTAAGAGAATCTATTGTATCCTGTAATCTACCTGACATCTTCACCACTTGGATCTCTGTTGCTACATTTATCCCTTATTTGACATTGATATAATTTTGATCTTTGGTTGACCTCCCAGCTCCTTTGAGTTTGTTGTTGTAGTGTTGTTCTGTTCTGGACTCTTCTCTCTGTTGACTGAGTTCCAAGTGGTGTTGCCATGCCTGTCAATCTCTGGTTGTTGTCTGTTCTTGTTGGTTTTCAGTCAACAGAACTCCCTTTAGGATGTTTTGAAGTGCTGGATTGGTTTTGATAAAATTTCTCAGATTCTGTTTATCGTAGAATGTTTTGATTGCACCATCATATTACATTGATAGTTTTGTTGGATAGACGATTCTTGGTTGACCTTTTTTTTCTTGTTGGGTTTTGTATATGCCTTCCCATTGCCTTCTTGCCTGCATTGTTTGTTCTGAATAGTCAGAGCTTAATCTGATTTGCTTGCCTTTATTAGTGACACTTCTCTTCTCCCTGGCCGCTTTTAGTATTTGTTCCTTGTCTTTGATTTTGGGAAGCTAGATTATTATATGTCTTGGTGACTTTTCTTTTGGGGTATATCCTTCCTGGGGTACATTTGGCTTCTTAAATGTTTATCTTCTCATCTTTCAAGATGTTAGGGAAATTTTCTTCCAGAAGCTCTTCAACTATCTCCTCTGTGGACTTCTCTGATTCTTCCTGTTCCAGAATGCCAATAATTCTTAAGTTGTTTTTCTTCATGTTATCCAGCATGAATCTTCAACTCTCTTCAGATTTTTTTTATCCATTTTTCAGCTTGCTCTTCTATTTTAGCAGTATTGAGAGATTTGTCTTCCAGCTCACTAGTTCTGGCTTCCATCTCTTCTTGTTCTGCTCCTTTCAGTGTATTGTCCATTTCTGGTATTTGATTATTAATCATCTGGACCTCTTTTTGCAAGTTTCAAATTGTTTCCAATGCTGTATCAATCTTATTTGATTGCTCTTGTACTACTTTCCTGACTTCTTCCTTGTTTTCCTCCACCCCTTTTTGGAGCATTTGAATTTGTTTCCATATCATTCTTCTGAATTCTTTCTCAGACATATCTATCTAAAACCTGCTCTTCATCTTCTAGGAAGCCTTTGTCTGTCTCCAGCTCATTTGTCTCAGCTACTCTCTTCTGTTTCTGGATGTGTTTTGATATCTTTTGTTGTTTTTTGTTTGTCATTTTCCAATAATTATGTGGTTTTTTTCATGCTTAAGTGGATGTTTGTTGTTGTGTTATTAAGCTTACTCGGTGTCTCCTGGTGGATATCATCAGGAGATAGGCTTCCCTTTTCACATGTAATGTTTAGCGCTGTTGTTGGATCTTGTCTTAATGGTTGAATATTATGGGGTATGCTTGTAGCTTGGCTAATGGCCATGATTACTGTCACTTCTTGGGTAATATAGGGAGAAAAATCTCCCACCTTTAGGAAAAATGTGTGGTCAAAAGGTCCAAAAGTAGAAGCAATATAGAAGCAGAGACAAGAACCTCCCTGTTTTTTTTTAGGTCAGATGCTCTCTGCTTATCTGTCTATAGTCCCGCCCTCTGCCTTCTGCCCTGGCTGTATGGCTGCAGAGGGACTCCCATGTGATGGGGCTGTTTCTTTCTATGTCATGGGAAAGCTGTGGTCTCAATGCTGGACCTTTTTGGGGTGTGTGCACCCACCCACCCACCCACTTGAAGGCATCTGGGCTGGGCAAAGAAGGCACAACAGGGAAGGGGAGGAATAAACATGTAAAATGCCTCCATGACTCCTTTTGCAACTGTCACTTCCCTGTTTTTAGGGCAGGTGCCAGTCTGTCTGTAGTCCCGTCCTCTGACTTCCTGCCTGTTGGGATGGCTGCGGAGGGAGTCCCATGCTGATTTTCAAAATGCAGTGTTTTCCTTTGTACTGTGATTTTTCCTATTGCATTTGTGGAAAACTGACACCCAGACCCCTGTGATAGATCCAGAACTCTGGTGTAATTCCATGAAAGCCACATCCATGGGATCTCAGCCCCACACCCACAGAGCCTGCCCTACCTGACTGCTCTGCCACCGCCAACCGGAAGTCTGTAGGATTTCTCACATTTAAGAATACATGTTTATAACTTTTTTTTACTTTCTGTCTAATCTCAAAGCTGACCCACAGTCACTGTATACTGGGGGAGACTGAAGATGTTTTCCAAGTTAGTTCAGTAGGTCAGTAGGTGAAACTAAGTCCCTTTTGGTCCCATGCTTCCTCTCCAATTTTCTGATGATGCTTCTGAAGGATTTAGCAAAAAAATGATTTTTCTTTCCCCTAAACAGGCTCAGAAATACAGCTCTCCATGAAGCAACTCTGCTTGGCCTGGAAGGAAGGAAGTGTATCGCTGCTTTATTGGGGTATGATCCCTGACTTCCAGGGCACATTTAAGATCACAGTGAGCTCTGATGATTGATCCCTGTGACACAGTCTACCATTCCACCATAATTTGTGGGACACTAAGGGCTTTCAGAAAAATCACTGATAATGTAACACTTATTCAGCACACTCAGTTGTAGCCTTTTGTGCAAAGAGAAGGTTGATGATGAATCATTTAAAACCACAGAGCCCTCAAAAAGCCTCAGGATAGAAGCACCCCTGAAAACTAAAGTCACGGTGGCCTCCTGGGGACAGTTTTGGGAGATGGGTCCAGGAAGTGCCCAGACTGACCTCCATGTTAGGGAAGAGTCTGACCCTCACGGTCAAGTACCTGAGTCTTTCAGCTCATGACCATTTCCTTCACAGATGTAATGCAAACATCCAAAAGAAGAACTTGAAAGGCCAGACAGCATATGACCTGGCTCTGGAAGTAGGGGATGACCTCATCACCTCACTTTTTGCTGTTAGGATTGGCCGAGGGCTCCTGGATCACCTCACCCAACCCAGGAGCCTCAGCCTGGATGACTGTTAGAAAGGTCATCCAGCTTGGACTTTCCTTTATTTATTTCTGAAACATATCTTTGCTGCTTGGGAATTGAATGAAGTTCAGGGAAATTAATGCGTTTTTTTTTTTTTTTTAAATGATAAGACAAAAAAATGGTGAGACAATAAGAACCACCAATCTTGCATGAACATTTCCCAGTATACTTTGGAGTCTGATGAACTCAGTGCATGCTTTTAAATGGTTTATTGTGTGTTGTTAATTTTAAAAATAGTGTTCTTTTTATGTTTTATTTTTCAACAGAGAATAATAATTATGTATCATTAAAGCTGAAAGGTATAAACTATTACATAGTGAAAAGTTTCCTTCACTCCTATCCCATAGCCATCTAATTCCTCTCCTCTGAGGCCACCAATCATACCAGTACCATCTGTGTCTTTCCAGATGGAATACAGGAGTATGTAGCATATACATACATACAGAATACACATATTCTTTAACCTCTTTTATCATAAATAGCAACAAACCAGCACGGTTCTGCATCTTGTTCTTTTTGCTTAATATATGTTGTAAGTGGTTCTAAATGAGTACATAAAAAGTAATCTCTTTTTGTTGATCCTTTTTGTTTTGTTTTGTTTTTTATATTACATTAATCAATATTCTTATTTGTTATGGTTTGCTTTTTGGTTAACACATCACCTTTGAATAAACCATATGCAGGAATATGTAATTTTGGCTTTTCAGATCTTTATTTCATTCTTTGGGTGGTAACACTATAGTTGTGAAGTCCCTAAACTGTTTCCATTATTGGATATAAGTAAATCACATATGGGACTTTAGAACAATAAATAATATTCTTGGTTGTGGCAGTTAATACTGCTATTAACTGTACCTCATTACCCAGATGTGGTGGCTGTCAGTAGGGACAGAGTTGATGCCAAGTTAAGTAGATAGCCACCTCTGGGATTTTTTTTCCTGAAGAAGAAAGGGAGCCTGCATCTGCCTCTGTAGGAAGGGAGACCACAGTGTTGAGAGAGGCCAGAGCATCATGATCATCTGGCTTAATGTCTATGATTACTTTCACTCTGGCGATTTAGTGAAGCTGGATTTACCCTCCCCAGAATTCTTTTTTTGTGTGGTTCATGAAAGAAACTGTGAGATTTGAAGGTGGGGTGAAGACATTCCATCATATGCTCAAAATGGGTGCAAGATATCTGCTGTGACATATACACCACAGATTCTGAAATTGTGGGCCAGGGATGGGGTCCGGAATTTAAGACAATCTCCCACAGACCTCAGAGAAGGCCCTGTAGACTTGTTCGTTCCACAAACAATCCTTTCAGGGATCTTGGGGGTAGTTTTCATAACCTGAGTGCAGGAACCATGTCTTCAATGTTTCCTGGGTTTTCCATATTTACTGGTGAAGTATCCTACCCTCTGTACCCAAGAGGCCTTCTAGTGCTTGCTTGCCAGACAGGAATCCATACTGCAGGCCCCCTGACACCTCGCTTTAGAATTATTCCCTTTCTCTACCACCCATAGTCTGTGCAAATCACTGGTCTTGAATTTTACTCCTTTAGATTAGACAACACCAAGATCAAACTTCATTTAAAATTAGATAAAACCTAATGGTAGCATAATATTTAAGATGTAAGAACATAGGGTGGGTCCTCAGATGAGGCAGACAAACCCTGAAGTTACTAGTGGCTAGAGACTATGCTCATCGAACTTCCAAGAGCACAGCCTCCGGTCCTTCTTCCAAGGGGGATATGGCATGTTCCTCTGCATCTGCCAGGGTCTGTTCCTGACCCTCAATGTGGAGAAAGTGCACGAAGAAATCAGTGAGAGCTAGAGGAAGTGCAGCCCTACTACAGCCAACACCCACAGGTGAGCCAGCATCTGCATGTCAAGGAGAGCAGCAGAAACCCTGGCCTTTGAACCCTCCTCCACAAGCTCAACTCAAGCCCTGTGGTCAGTGCTATGCTACAATACTTGTGGACCTCACCAAAGGACATACACAGGATCAAACTGACTATAGCTGTGGGAAGAGAAAATGGAGAAGCTCAATATCATCAGCTGTCCATTGCTTATATGCAGGTTCAGATTGAAGAAGAAGAAAATTAAAACAAGTCCACAAGGGTCAAAATATGACCTTGAATATATCTCACCTGTATTCAGAGACCATCTCAACAGATTTGATGCACTAATGACCGAAGACCAGAGGAGTTGTAGGATGGCAAAGCAAATTGTCATAAAAAAGACGGGGGCGGGGGGAGAATCAAAATAGATGTCAGAATAGGTTACGCAAAGGAAGAAAGGCCATGGGACAAAGAAGAGGCATTTGCAAAGCTAAGAAATGCCAAAGATTGCCAGAAGTCACTAGAAACTAGAATAAAGGCACAGAACAGTTTTTCTCTCAAAACATCAGAAGGAATCAACTGTCAATACCCCGATTTGGACATCTAGCCACCAGAACGTGAAAGGCAAATGGTGGCAGATGGTAGATGGTGGCCTCTTCTTTTGCGAAGGTCTTAGAGTGAGCTGATGCAGAACAATGTCCCAGCTGACGCATGATGAACACTTCAGACGTGCCATGTGGGCAGAAAACACCTACTGGTAAGATAAAAGCTCAAGTGAGGATATGGATGTTGTTAAGTGGAATTCTATCCAGTGAGAGCCACAAGTGAGTAGGATTAACCTCTATGGCAAAGGGTAGGAGTCACAGACTAGTATAGGCAGTATGGAGGTACCCTCACTATGTGGACATAATCAGACCCAGTATTAATACCATCATTAGACAATAGGAAATGAGTACTATATGATCAAATACAGTGCACTCTCATTAAAGACATACTAGCTGTACTCATCCCAATGAAAAATTGTCACACTACTTTTCTTGTTGAAAAATTGCTTTTAGTGTCAAGTGAAAGACACTCTTGCCCTGCAAAGTTTAAGAAAGTCAACATTATTTGCACAATGCTAAAACCATATGCAATTCATGTATGACTTTCCCTGGCTTCACAAAGGGGAAAGGGAATCAAACTCAAAATCAGCCCCAGTTTTGTTTGTTGGTTGGCTTTTTTAATCTTGGTTTCCCTTGCACTATAATACAGAGTAGACACTGGAGAGGGAGAGAAAGGAATAGTCAGAAACATCACACTAGAAGGCTTGTAAGTCCGTCTTCTGCCTATGACTGATTGGAATACCTAAAATGGGGCTACAGTGTACCCAGTGAACAAGACTTCTTGCAGAGCCTTTGCAATACATAAAACTATAGGTAGAAAACGGAACCACATCCAGCTCTCCAGAGATGAGAAATCTCCACTTGAAAGGATGAGCAGACCATCCTGGAGAAGCTAGAAGAATAAAAGATACCTCTTGAAAGAAAGGCCTGCAGGGACAATGGAGGCAGATGGGCTGTTACTACAAGAACAAACAAATCGCTTCCCTAGGAAACATCAATGCAAGTGGCCATGTCCTCTCAACGCAACCCCCCTTCCAAGACTAAGACTCAATGGAAATGCACGCTCTGATTGGTGACCACACACATCACCGGTGGTGGGGGGAATGGGGTAAAAGCAGCAATGAAGCGGCAAGCTAAGCCCTACAATGTTCAGTGGACTTCTGTGGACCCAGTTGGGGACCTGGATGGCAAGCAGTGTGAGGAGACCTGGGGACTCTTGGGCCCAGAGTCAGTGGCATGGCCACAGAGGACTCGAGAGGAGTGGAGCTACCGGCTGAGGGGAAGAGAGGGCATGTGCACAGGAGCGCCCACACTTGCAGATGATACCCACGTGACCTGGACCGGATGACTGGATGATTGGAGCTCAACCAGGAGAAGATAGAAGAGGGGGGAAAAAAAGAGTGAGCTGATACAATCTGATGAACTTGACCTATACCTGTGGCGCAATAACTCAAAAGAAGGAACAAATCCTTACAGCAAGAATCATTCTCACCCCCTCCACACACAGAGTGGACAGAGAAGGGCAGCTTGGACATTGGATACTCAAATGGGGAGAGGGGGACTACAAAGGCAAGAAGTGACTGGCTTACAAGCTTTCAAGGGGGTACCTAGTGCTAGGGAGCATGGAGGAAGGCAGAATCTCCAGTGGGTACTATTCAATCTGTCTGGGCGGAGCAGATGAAAGGAAATACGGATGGGTAACTCGTGATACTGAAGTGAATAATGCTTATCAGGACGGATTATGAGGGTTGGAAATGCAAAGGTAGACGTTTTGTAACAAGGAAGGGAGTGATTAATTCTACAGGCTAGGAGCGGAGGTATCTGGGACCATCAACGGAGAAGAGCTGAGAGCGGGACCCTTCCCAGAGAAACAGAGATGCCTGAGATGGAGACAGAGACGATGATGTGGAGTAATGAAGCAGCTGGGGACTTTGGATCCAGAGAGGGAAAGGGACTGTGGACCGAAAACTGGGGGTGTGGGGGGGTGTAGGGGGCGGGCTTCTAGGATATACCCTTTCGTTGGTTGATGATGCATGGAGGGGATTGGAACCATGGCAATGAGATGATATACGATGGAATGAATGTAAAACTATAGTTCTCCCATGTAAACTACCATATAATTCACAATAAAAAATCAAAAAAAAAAAAAAAAATCAGCCCCAGGCTGATTTCTTTGAAGCAGAGGTCAGACATGCTTCCACCCTACAACCTTCTTTACCCTATTCTAACACCAACAATCCCTCCCATAGCACTCTCTGATTCACAGCTGGGTTTGATGATCCATTGCATTAACCACACAGAACTCATAACAATACTCAGGATTCTGGAATGCTGTTCAGAATTCCACCTATGGTCTTATGCAATGCAGAGGCTCCTCAGGAAGTCTCCTTCGCTGGGCACGTTGTAGTCCCATTTTAGGTAGTCCAATCAGTTATAGACAGAAGACAGACTTACAAGCTTTCTATGGTGACCTTTCTGGCTATTCCTTTCTCTCCCCCTCAAATGACTATTTTATAATGGTATGCAAGGGGAAAAGTTATCTTTTTCTTGATTCAGTGCTCTCTTGGTTGCTTATTAACTGATTTCCAGATTGTGACATCGTTAGCTGTAGCAGTTGCTGCTTGTGGTTTTTTGTTTTGTTTTCAATGCCTCTTTGAGGATACAAGATCTTGGAACTCTGCCATCTTGCTCTGCTTTTGATGAAGGGCTGTTCTTATTTTGAGCCAAACCACTTTGGACTGGAACATAATAAAAGGAATATGGTGGAATACATTTGTTGTTGCTGTTAAGTGCTAACAAGTTGGTTTTGAATCATAGTAAACACTGTCTAAGGTTACTGAGGAATGACTGGTGGATTTGAGCTTCTGACATGCAGTTAAACAGGGACGCTGAGTCATAATTGAACCCACGGCACTTAACAAATATCCTTAGACTTGTTAAATGGAGTACTATTGAGTATGTGGCCTCAGATAATTTCTTGTCTTCCAAGAAATTAAATTTGTGAGTATAGGACTTAAGAGTTCATGATATACTGCTGGGAGCCTGAATCCTGTGTGGCAACCCTGCATGTCGCTGCAAGCAGCGCAGAGCATTCGGGTCACTGCCTGCGTCCTGCGTGCGTGCGCTGCCCATTGTGGTGCTGGGGGCTGGAACCAGGTACCATGTGGATGCTGCGCACCAGATGACCTTTGCTCTCAGTGCGTAAAGTCACAGACAAACATGAGTAGGTAACAGCATACATGCCACTGGATGAGTGGGAATCACAATTTTGCACAGCAAGCTTTGGGAGATGCTTTTTACTGCAGTCTTCCTTTCTTTGGAACAAGATGAGGCTGGTGCTTTGGAAAGCGTGAAAGCTGTGGTGAACTCTACTCTCCTTTATCATTAGTAATAGAAATGAATGCTGCTTTTACAGAAAAACTAGGACTCATTAACAATCCTGTTCTGAAGATGTTTGGCTGATCAAGATGACATTCAGTAAGCCATCAAAACTTAATGAACTAATGAGTAAAGAAGCATATGAGAAATACATAAAATGTATTGAGTGAAAACGGAACCCCTAAATAAACTAGTATGAAACAAAGAAAGAGTTCATTCAAAATATCTGTGCCACCCTTATGTTATTGACTTGTAAGTGAATGAGGTACAGAGTCAGGGTTACACATTTGTAAACAAGAAAAGTTTATTAAAACAAAAGGCCACAAAAGACATGGAAAAGACTTAGCGTGGTGAAAGTAAACTCAGTCCAACATCCTTTGACCAGGTAAAGAATGTATTTTTCTACTTTGACTACTTAGTCCATGCTGCCAACTTTCATTTCAAAGGGAGTGCAAGGGGATAGAAGATTGCCCTGAACAAGTCTCCAAATCAGCTTGAAGTGATGGCTTATGATAGCCAGACTTTACTCTCTTGTGTCTACTGAGGTACGCCTTCTGGTTAAAGCCTTGTCTGCATGTCCTGCCCACATAGGGCTTCTCACTGTTGTGTGCCATCTGGTGTAAGAGAAGGTGTGACTTTTGGATAAAGCCTTGACCACATTCTCTGCATACACAAAGCTTCTCTTCAGAGTGTAACCGTTTATGTGTGATGAAAGTTGACTTATTGTTAAAGCCAAGTCCACAATGCCGGCATGTATAAGGTTTCTCCCTTAAGTGTTTCCTCTTATGTCTGATGAGACCTGCCTGGTGACTGAAGCCTCTCCCACACTCCCTGCACACATAAGGCTTTTCCCCTGAATGTGTCCTCTGGTGTGCTGTCAGGTTTGACTTCTGGCTGAAACCTCGCCCACAATCTTCACACACCATGGGCTTCTCCCCTGAGTGTGTCCTCTGATGTCTGATGAGATTTGATTGCTGGCTAAAGCCTCGACCGCAATCCTTGCACACAATGGGTTTATCCCCTGAGTGTATGTTCTGGTGTCTGGTGAGGTGAGACTTTAGACTAAAGCCTCGCCCACACACTCCACACACGTAAGGTTTCTCCCCAGTGTGTGTTCTTCTGTGTGAGATGAGGGTTGAATTCTGGCTAAAGCTGTGCCCACATACCCCACACACATAAGGCTTCTCCTTTGAATGCGTCCTCTGGTGATTGACAAGAGTTGTCCTCTGCCTAAAGCATCGTCCACACTCCTTGCAAGCATAAGGCTTTTCCCCTGAATGTGTCCTCTGGTGTGAGATAAGGTTCGACCTATCACTAAAGCCTAGACCACAATCATTGCACACAATAGTCTTCTCCTCTGAATGTGTCCTCTGGTGTCTGACTACAGCTGATTTCTGACTAAAGCCTTTCCCACACTCCCTACACACATAAGGCTTTTCCCCTGAGTGTGTTCTCTGGTGTATGATGAGGTTTGACTTTTGACTAAAGCCTCTCCCACACTCACTGCACATATACGGCTTTTCACCTGAGTGTGTCCGCTCATGGATGATGAGTGTTGACTTCCGGTTAAATCCTCGCCCGCACTCCCTGCACACAATAGGTTTCTCCCCTGAGTGTGCCTTTTGGTGTCTCGCAAGGCTTTTCTTTAGACTAAAGCCCTTCTCACACACCCCACACACATACGGCTTCTCCCCTGAGTGTATCCTCTGGTGACTGAGTAGGTTTGTCATCTTGCTGAAGCCTAGTCCACACTCTCTACAGTTGACTGCTCCAAATCCTAAGACTTCTATCTTCTTCAATAATCTATCCGTTTCCTCAGGGATGTCTCTCTGAGCTGGGCTGGTCTCTATTTCCACACTTCTGATGCCATTCCTAGATTTGATTGGCTGTCTGGAGAAAGTGCCTAAAGTCCTTTTCGTTGTCCTCCCAAACATAGGTTTGGCACCTTCTCTCTCTTGACTTTTTGGTTCATCACACCAGGATATTTCATCAGATGGATGCTGCTGCTTCTTCTGTTTCTCTGGGTAGCAATCCCCTTGCTGGACTTGATTCTCAGTACATAAACAAGTGAACATCCAAGGGGGATGACTGCATAGCACATGTTGCATGTGGAATTTCTGGCTGGAGAAATCCGGAGGGCAGAAAGGACACAGCTGGATTTCTGGCTTAAGTTCTGCAGCAGAGAGAAAGGTCTAAGTCAGACTGTATCTTTGGTTAGATGGCCCAAGAAATTATGCCTTACCTGGTAGGACTTGATCCCTTTCTGCAAAATGCTCAAAACTTAAATCAAGACTTCCTTTTTATGACCTACTTTTTAATTCCATACCTACATATCAGATCTTCTATTACAATCTGGAAAACCTACTCCTACAACCTATTCTAATGATCAGATTGAAAACATGTTCTAATAAGCATTACAAACAGTTTTGGCTCTGAAATTAGGGGTAACATGCAGCCATGTTTTCCTCTGAATCCATAACCACATATCTTCTAATCCATAATCATTCACACTAATAGAAACAATGCACACAAGTATTTGCTTTCCAACCATATAATTCATGTAGAAATGTCCTTATTTCTTTCCCTATTTCGCTCTAAAGAACAAAGGGGTGGTTTGAGAAAGCAGTTATTCAATATGGAAAGTCTTTAGGGTAGGAAGCAGTATAAAATAGTGTTTAAAGAGATTACTTGTGGGAATTCTGGGAAGACAGTGGTATAAACAGACCATTGTTACAATCCTCCCTACAAATACAACAGGAAATACAACAAATAAATTGGTGATTGCTTTAAGGTGCTCTAGATCAGAGAGTAGAAGAAAGCAGCAAAGAGCTAAAAACAAACAAGAATCAACAATGAGATGCAGAGAGTAGGAAAATCACTTCCCCTATTGACCATGCTCCTTCCTCCAGTCAAGTGGGCCACTTGTGAATTAGGGAGAATTCTCTGAGAGCAATATGACAAACCTCTGTGGAGATAAGATCAGAGCATGACACCCTCCCACACATCTGGTAATTATTCAGAAGCAAACTACTTCAGGAGGTCTCTGCAGTGGAGTCTGCTGTTAACACTGTCAAAAATTCTAATGCCCCAACAGAAGTCACACGACATATAAACCAAAGAGAAATGCTGACCCATTTAAATGAATATGACAATGTAGTTGTTAGCGAAAAGCGACTGGGTAGAAGAAGAAATAAAACGTGAACTCACAAAGTTCCTAGAAACAAATGAGAACGAAAACACAACACACCAAAATATTTGGGACATGGCAAAAGTGCTGAGAGGACAATTTATTTCAATAAAAGCACACATCAAAAAAGAAGGAAGTACCAAAATTAACACATTAACACAGCATCTACAACAATTAAAAACAGACCAAAAGAGGGAACCTATAGCCACCAAAAAAGAAATAATAAAGATTAGAGAAGAAATAAATGAGATAGAAAACAGAAAAACTATAGAAAGAATCAACAGGAAAAGAAGCTGGTTCTTTGAAAGGATTAACAAATTGACAAACCACTGGCAAACTTACAATAGAAGAGGAAGAAGACATAAATGACATGCATTAGAAACCACATGGGTGATGTCACAATGGAATCAAAGGAAATCAAAAGGATAACAACAGAATACTATGAAAAGTTGTACTCCAACAAATTTGAAAACTTAGAAGAGATAGATATATTTTCAGAAAAACACAACCTACCTAAACTTACATAGAGTGAAGTAGAAAACCTGAACAGACCAATAACAAAAGAAGAAACTGATCAGGTCATCAAAAAACTCCCAACTAAAAGAAGTCCAGACCCAGATGGCTTCACTGGTGAGTTCTACCAAACCTTCAGGTAAGAGCTGTCACCAATTCCACTCAAATTATTCCAGAATATACAGGAGGATGGAAAACTTCCTAATACATTTTATGAAGCAAGTATAACCTTCATACTAAAACTAGGGAAGGATGTCACTAAGAAAGAAAATTATAGACTAATATCCCACATGTACACAGATGCAAAAATTCTCAACAAAATCCTAGCCAACAGAATCAGCAGCACATCAAAAAGAAAATACATCATGACCAAGTGGGATTCATATCAGGGATGCAAGGATGGTTCAACATCAGAAAAACAATCAAAGTAATCCACTATATAAATAAGAAAAAAGAAAAGAACCACATGTAGAAAAGGCATTTGACAAAATTCAACATCCATTCCTGATAAAAAACACTCAACAAAGTAGGCACTTAAGGGAAATTCCTCAACATAATTAAGAGCATATATACAAAACCAACAGCCTACATTACTCTCAATGGAGAGAAATTGAAAGCCTTCCCTCTACAAACAGGAACCAGACAAGGATGCCCTTTGTCACCACTCCTATTCAATATGGTGCTGGAAGTCTTAGCAGGAGCTATATGGCAAGACAGGGAAATTAAAGGCATCCAAATTGGCAAAGAGGAAGTAAAACTCTCTATTTGCAGACGATATGATGCTATACATAGAAAACCCCAAAGACTCAGTAAAAAAGCTACTAGACCTCATTAGAAGATTCAGAAGTGGCAGGATATAAGATCAACATACAAAAATCAGTTGGATTCCTCTTTACCCATAATGATAGTGCTGAAGAGGACATTAGGAAAGCAATACCATTCACAGTAGCTGCCCAAAGGATGAAAAATCTAGGAATAAATATAACCAGAGAACCAAAGGACCTATACAAAGAAAAATACAAAACACTACTATAAGAACCCAAAAGAGGCTTACAAAAATGGAAGAATATACCATGCTCCTGGATATGAAGACTTAACATTGTGAAAATGTTAATACTGCCTAAAGCAATTTACACATATAATGCAATCCGAATCCAGATTACAACGACATTCTTCAAAGAGATTGAAAAAGTTATTACGAACTTTATATGGAAAGGAAAGAGACCCAGGATAAGCAAAGCACTGCTTAAGAAGAATAAGGTTGGAAACCTCTCACTCCCTGATTTCAAAATTTATTACACGGATACAGTATTCAAAACAGCTTAGTACTGGTACAATGGAAGATATATTTATCAATGGAACAGAATTGAGAATCCAGAAATTAACCAATCCACATAAAGCCCACTGATTTTCAACAAAGTGCCTAAATATATCACATGGGGAGGTGATAGTCTCTTCAACAGATGGGGCTGGCAGAACTGGAAAGCAATATGCAAAAGACTGAAACAAAACTTTCACCTCACGCCCTATACAAAAACAAACTCAGCATGGATTAAAGATCTAACTGTGAATCCCAGAATTATGAAGGCCATCAATGAAAAAATAGGGACAAATGTGAGGACTCTAATTCAGGGCATATACAGACTACAAAAA